GGCTTCTAAGCCCACTACTATAAGCAAAGGCCTTTCCACATTCCATGCATTTAAATGGTTTCTCTCCTCTGTGGACATTTTTGTGGCTTCTAAGCCCACTACTATAAGCAAAGGCCTTTCCACATTCCATGCATTTAAATGGTTTCTCTCCTCTGTGGACATTTTTGTGGCTTCTAAGCCCACTACTATAAGCAAAGGTCTTTCCACATTCCATGCATTTAAATGGTTTCTCTCCTGTGTGGATCATCTTATGGGAAGTAAAATGATTTTTTTGAGCAAAGGCCTTTCCACATTCCATGCATTTAAATGGTTTCTCTCCTCTGTGGACATTTTTGTGCCTTCCAAGCCCACTACTATAAGCAAACGTCTTTCCACATTCCATGCATTTAAATGGTTTCTCTCCTGTGTGGACATTTTTGTGGCTTCTAAGGTTACTGACCTGAGTAAATGCCTTTCCACACTCCATGCATTTATATGGTTTCTCCCCTGTGTGGATCCTTTTATGGATAGTAAGTTGCTTGCTTTTTCTGAAACATTTTCCACATTCTAAACATTTATAAGGCTTCTCTTTTCTGTCAATAGCTTTTTGAGATCTAAGGCACTTATTTCCAAGAGAAAGAATGAATTCCCCATTGTAATTTTGTCCATTGTGTCTTCCTATAGCATCGTTTTGGGTTAAATAGTGTTCATTTACTTTAGCTTTGATTAGCTTCACATTTTTTCCAGTATATTTTTTCCTTATTTTCTCTTCTTGGGAACAAAAGTGTTGCATTGGAGCATCAGTGGAAGATGAGCTTTCCTGATTGAAATCATTTGACTGGTTTCTGTCATGGCTTTTTAATTCCATTCGGATTCCAAACTTCTCCGTTGTATTGATCACTTGGAACAATTCACAGGAATCTTGATTCTCCTGCCCATTATTACCTGAGAATGAGAAATGAAAATGATAACGAGTTTAGAGAAAATGATCAAACTGTAAAAAGTTAAGTGAATTACCTTCAGAATTTCTCTGAAATTCCATTAGGCGTTTGCACGCCTACAGTGGTGTGATATAGACATGATGATTTCTATATTCATGAGTCATGAAAGCCTTGAAAATATCTAGGAAACATCTCTTTCTTTACAATTATCTCTACATATGCAAATCTCACTCAGAGTCAGTTTTGAGTTAAGCAAAAGTATAGAACAGAATTGGGAGGGACCTTGGAGATCTTCTAGTCCAATCCTCTGCGAAGGCAGGAAACCTTACATCAGTTCAGACAAATGGTTATCCAATATCTTTTAAAAAACTTTCCGTGTTGGAGCATTCACAGCTTCTGGAACATTTTAATTTCACAAAAGCTGGTTGGAGGAGCTAATGGCTCTGAGGGGAGTCTGAGAAGGAGTACAGTGGACAAAGATAGTTTGAAACTGCCTCCATTGCATTTTAATTACACAGAAGCTGGGAGGAGATGCTGGCTGTGAAGGGGGAGTCTGAAAGAGAGTACAGAGGACAAAGGTAGCGGCTGCTCGTATAAACCAAAAATAGCAATAATACATTCAAGGTTAGTACGCTTGAGATTGTGATTTTATTTTATTTCAAAATGACCGGCTTAGTTCAGTGCAATACTTGTTTTGCAGCTGTGTTTCACAGTACTTGTTAGGTAAGCTCCCCGTTAGGAGAACGAGTGCATGCAGAGAAGCGTAGTGAGAGTAGTATAGAGGAACGCATAAACCAGCATACGGAGACACTGAATTGTAAAACAGATAATATTTTTACTTCTGTGGAAATAGAGGTATGCAGAGTCCAATTCATACACGGTTAAGACGGTCAGACATCAATTTTCGCAGTTAAGGGGTGATACAACAAACACAGTCCAGTATCATATAATCAGTTCAGCACCCAAAGTTGCTAATAGTAGCAAAACTCACAGTAATTCACGCTGAGCAATACATGACATGTCTACAACCAGTATCCAACGCTTGGCATCTAACAAACAAAGAGCTAACAGTCATTTTGGCTCCATCTTATGGCCGCTTGAGGAAACAGCAACCAATCACATTTACAGCAGTACTTAAAGGTACAGTGTTACTATCATGGTTTATATATTGCCAACCCAACTGTTACCCAACTGTACTATTCCTAATAGTACTCTTT